AGCTACTCAGCCCCAGGCTAAAAAAAACATAATTTTAAGAGAATTAATAACCAAATTAATGGTCTTGTATGTATGCAAGCTATTAAAGCCCTTATAAAAATGGGATTCGCCTCTCCACTCAACCGCAGAATAAAAAACTTAGTGAGCTATTTTTCGTTGGCACGGGGGGCCAAGAACGAATCGCAAGACGGATAAAATCGCATAAGTAAAATGCAAAGGCATTTGTGAGAACGCTTAATTTCCTAACAGGATGAACTCGACCATGGAATGGATAATCAGCCTTGCTGAAGAATGAGTAAAGGAATTGTTTAGAAAAATAGGCAATCTAAACTATGCAAGAAAAAGTCGGATACGACCTCGATAATAAAACAAGGAACTAATGGTGAATTACCTTTGTCGGCCGCAAGCGATGTAAATGACACTTCCTTTAGTTGCCTATACTGATTCTAACTCATTATGAAAACAGGAAAATCGCACGAAAGTGGAAATTAAGTTTAACCAATGGGAAAATAAAGAGGCATGTAGAGAAATGAAGAATAAAAAATGAATGTGCTATATGCGAAAGAGAAATCACTCTAAACCATCCCGTTTGTGTATGCAATTATTTAGAACTGCAAACTAATCAGTTAAAGGACATTACTTTTGGGAAGGATAGGTTTGATGACAAAAAAGGTACGAAAAGATGTGGATAGGAAGGCGATAAGGGAAGGAGGAAAGCAAGACTCACCCCCGGGAGTACAAAAAATGCCGCTAACGGTGACGCGTTTCTCAACGCCCTCCGCAATGACTCGCACCGCGCGTCGTACTGCGTCTTTCACTGTAACAACCTCATGTGACTGACCCTTGCCATCACTACAAACAGAGCTGCCACGTTGAGCGACGGCCGTTGCAGTGACGTTGAGAAGCCCGGTACGTAGTGGTCGGAGTGGTAAATAAAATGTTTCTTTCACGTCTTCTGCACAGATGCAGGTCGTAAAGGCGGAGACACTGACTGCTCTCCAGTCTCTCGAATCCGTCTCTATACTCACCTCCACTTCATAGCATGTGCGTGGGGGGACGTTATCGCCAACCGATGCCTTCATGGTGGCGATGGGCTCGGGATACACGAAGACACTGATAGGTAGGTGCAGCACTTCTCCCCGTCGTGCCATCAAAGGTGGTGCGAATTCCACGAAGAAGGGCATCCTCACAGTAAGCTGTGGCTTTTTCACCGGCATCCACAGACCTTTGTCGGCCATGAAGCACACAGCATTGGCCTCCCACGTAGTCAGAGTGTCGGGTACGGTAAGGGACTTGTTTAGATTGCCGTCAATTAGTTTGGATGTTTCAAACAGCCACACTTCGGGGTGGAAGTCGCGAAGACGTGGCTTCGTGTCTGTAATCACTATTCTATTGCTGGATCGGAGATAGTCATGTCTCTCGGATCTGCTTTCCACGATGTTAACGCTTACGCTATACATTGGACACAAATGTACGGGTTTAATTAACTCCTCCTTGGACGTAAACATAGTAAAATCAATTCCGGCTGCTTGGTATGCACTTTCCGTGCTTTGAACAGTAGGCATTCTGTAAATTCTCCGATAGTCCTTCAATGCTTTCACAAACGCCTCAAAGTCAATTCTGCGAGTATTTTCAGTGTCAAAGTTTTTTGTAGCCACATCAATTATGCTAAAAAGGCACGTATTTGCGACTTCCTCGTCATGCTCAATTCCATTGAGCACTTTTAATGAGATGTTAACCTTCTCACCAGGTGCAACCAATGTCTTATCAAACCGCAAACCTCCCCTGTTTTCATCTGTGTCAGCCAACGCCGGTGAAGAGCAGGTGTGAAGATTACCTATTTCCACAAAGTCGGAAGCCATTTGCCCCTCCACCACGACGTATGTGACACCTCTAAATTCGGGTCCAAAATCCCCATCCAATTTAAGAACGGCTTTGTGCTTGAATACTGTTCGACGTACAGCATTATTGGCATCGCTATTACTTCCTCTACTGGATTGCGATTTGGTACTATGAACCACGCTAGGCGTTGTCTCTGCTCCATTAACTTCTTCAAATGAGACTACTGCTTTGTCGCAGAGCCAGTGTGTAAAACCCGGTTTGCAAACACAGTCGCCTCCTTCCACACATACACCATTCTTGCAGCCTTTACGGGGAAGACATATTTCACAATTAACGCCTCCCCATCCTGGCTTGCACTCACACCGACCTGGAGCAACGCATATGCCGCCAACCCCACATCCATTCTTATCGCAAACGGGTGTTTGACAATTAGCCCCTGTCCATCCTTCCAGACAATGAATTTCATCTCCATCACCACACTCATAGTGGCCGAATTCATTGTCCAATGGTATGCATTCGTAATCCGCCTCTAGCCTGGTTGTTCGCGTAATGAGCTGTCCTCGTGATAGAAATTGCAAAGTCAGAATTGTGTTATCTGGTAGGGGTTTATTTGCATCAACTTGCAAATTCACGCTAGCAGGACAGGTAACGTTGGTATTGTTTATTACGGT